TGTGTATCTGCTTCAAATCCTCTGTTATCAGGTTGTCCTGACAACAGAGGACAACATCCTGTTTGGCCTCACATTCAGTAAACGGCAGAGGTGCTGCTAATGTTATGTTATTAATTTCTCTATTTTCTTTTCTCAGTATTTTTTTTCTTGCCGTATATTTTAAGACACACAGTTGAGATGAGTGGGAGGGGGTTCATGTCTCAGCTTCCATAGCAACCTGGGCTATCTAAGTGATAAACAGATGGTTATCTGTTTATAACTGATGGTTATAACAGGAAACAAGAAAAAGAAAGGTGAGGAGAGCTACACTGGGCAGCAATTAATTTGCTTCTGATGCTCTGTGCTAAAGGTCAGGATTTAAAGAGCCAGTTTGACTCTTGGCTAAGCCCTTTTTCCATCCCAGCATGATGCTCACACTGTTGATTTAGATAGAAATGGCAGATTTACCACTTGAATTTTGAAACAGTAAGTCCATTATTTCAGACAGATGTAGACCAGCTAACATTAACTCCATGACTTGGCTGTGTCTGCAGCTGATTCTTTATAAAAGCTGAAATAATGTTTGTGGCTACGTAGAGGATATAATGCTAAAAGATGGAGAAGCATTCTTGTATTTCGGTTTCCTGTATTATACAGTAGCACTACATTATGAGGAATAAAAATTACAAAAATTAGATTTATGATTTATTACTCATATTTTCAAATACTGTTTCACTTTGACAAGAGAAAAGGTTTAGAGTGTGATTAATCATGACTTTTGCTAACCTAACTCCATGTTGGGTAACGGAGATTGGCGGAGGTTGCTGGAGGGTAACTCTCCCCAAACCCAGTAAGCAGCAGGAGAGCTGCTAACATAAAGCTAAACTCTGGCATAGCAGCATTCAGCACCAGCTGTACTGTGGATGTCCTAGTTCTGAACAGTGTTTTTAAACTGTAACTTGTAACTGCACAAAATATGACACTAGCTAATGACATGATAACTCTTTGCCTTAGAAGTAATGTCAGGCATCTGTTGTGAGTAGTAAGCTAGTTAACCTGGATGTGCTTCTGTTTTCAGTAAACGTTACAGCAGGTCACCCAGCAAACTTTCTGAAAATTGAATATCATTTACTCTACAAAATGTAGAGAAATCTGGCACATGACAGCCCTGCTTTGTCACATTAAGTGTAAAGCTAAGATTGGACTTTCACCAATCAGAGGAAGGATTTATGAATGGTCAGTTATTAACGCCAGGAGTGAAAGTGCTGGAAGCACTGTGTGGGCATAGATGCAAACAAACTAAGCTCTCAATTGGAGAATGTTGGAAGCAGCCTTGCCTTCATCTTCACCAAAGGAAGCAAAGGTCAGTTTAAAAGCCCTGCTAGCTGTCAACTTCTGGACCTCACCTGTCATGTTTCAGCCCCGTTCACTTCCTGCAAGTATGCTCTTATTCTTTACTGCTTCCTGCCCCCAGCTCACCCTGCATTCCGGGAACTTCATGTCATCATTCAGATTAGTTTCACCTGCTACTTCATCAGTCATACCTGTTCCTGTATAGCAGCTCCTCACTCACTTCTGCCTGATCATCTGAATACCGACACCTTGCGTGTACTATCGGCCTGAGATTCTGCCTCACCCTTCTTATTGGACTGCTTTCTTGGTAACGACACCTTGCCTGCATTAACGACTAGAGATTCTGCCTTGCCTTCCCTACTGCCCTGCTGGAGATATCGACCCTGAACCAAACTAAGTACTGCTTTCTGCCTAAGCCCTTCAGACTGGTACTGTGTATATCTGACTCTGTTCCTGAGGACATTATTAAAACCTATTGTGCTATTCCAGCTTACTGGCTCTTTAATCGGGTTCACACCTCCACCTCCACGGGAGCTGTACTTTCACTCCCCTGACATCACCAGTTAAATAGGAAGCCATTCCCTCAAATTACAAGCTTCACAAGCCAGGATAAAGTTGAATTTAGATGCTTTCTTCTTTTTTTGGCAATCTGAATATTGCCTCCGGAAAAGTCATCAGAGCAACAGTATGTGTCGGTTTGCTCTGGGTGCTGTCTGGTGCCACTCAAGTTTTTAAAATAAAAACGGTGCACCCTCACTGCAGGCTGTTTACCTGAATGAATGTGAGAGAAGATAAAGCTCCCTTAAAGCTGCCCTGGAGTCCTTGCTACACTTGGTATCCGTATCTTTTTATTGTGAAGGCTTGACTTTTCAAGGGGTTTCTTTACTTTTTGTTATGTTCATTCCTTTCTTCTGTGCTTTTGAATTGAATTGGCAGCTGAAAAATCTACATAGAAAGTTTTGCATTTTTATGGCATGCCAGTTTTTGTTCTGCTAAACCTGTACGTGATTTGTCAAATCCTGACCTTGACTGTTTTATCCAGAGCAGCTCTGATTCCTTTGTCACAGAATTGTCTTCTACCATCACTACCACACCTGGAGGTTTGAACAGCACCAGGTCCCTGTGTGCATATGCTGCTTTTCCACTATCAAAACCTAACGAGCAGTATACCCCATACTTCCCTTAACCTCCTCCTGAGCTGTGCTTGGTGTGGGCTGTCCTGTTTTTCCACTGCATTTTCTCTCTGTCGGTCTTTGCTTATGCGAGAGAGGGGCTACTCCTCTCTCACATGCAGTCAGCTGTGCGTTTTATAATATTAATGCTTGAGGTGTGAAGACGCAGACCTTTAACCAATCTCTGACGACTGCTCCGCACACATGCACCCCCTCTCCCCTGCGGCCAACAGATTCAACATTACAGCTGCTGGGAGAATGAGCAGACCGTTAACTGCACCAAGATAACTGACGACAGTCTTTGGGAATCCATGTTGCTTCAGACCAAACTAGGAAGTTCAGTATATAGTGTTTGAGAGCTGAGTGACAAAACCTGAACCTCAACCAAAGTTGAGAACCACAAAGGCTCTGTATTGAAAGTGCTGTCCCCAAAGAAAAGGTGCATAGAAAAATGTGAATTAATGTCACTGGGCCAAATAGAAATGTTTTTTTTTACTTGGGTGTGTTCTCGTAACTGCTGAAATTAAAATGCTTCCTTCAATACCAGAGCAGAAGTCTCAAACATGGAGCACTGCTAATGCTGATGTACAGTACTGTGACATCAAATCAAAGTTGTCTGTCATGATGCTATAAACTGCCCCATTGAACTGTGCTCCCTGTGGTGTGCGCTCTTTCTCTCTCTCAGATTAACTGCGTCACGTTCCCGTTGCCTGAGTGCATGGCGGAGCAGCAGCTGTTGAAACCAAACGAATGGAGCTACTGTGACTATTTCTGGGTAAATTCACCTCAACATATGAGACTATACATTTGTTGTCCATGGCACAGATCCCCCAAAATATGAACAAATATAAGCCAAAAGCAGAGCTTAAGTGTAGCCCACAGCTAACTCACCGACTTCAAAGCACTGTTCTTCCTGTTTTCATAGCCCAAAGAATGATGGGAACTATAATGCCAGAAACTCTTCATTGACACTCTCCTGTCTTCATTTATAGTATATAAAATAAGGGAAATAATTTTTGGGAATGCCATGAGCATGATTCTTTGTATTCACTTCAGAATCAAGCAGACTGTGGTCCTAAGTAATTTTTTCTTTTGTTAAGTTTGTGATGATTTTCTGGATTGTTTGGTGCTAAGCTTTTAATTATGGTGGCGTACACAGCATATGAGCAGAGCGGAGCGGTGAGAATTTCTGCTCCTCGCTCACGGAGCTGTTCACTTGCTCCGCTCCCCCACTCAAAGCCACACCAGGCCGCTCCTCTCATTGTTGCTTAGTGCTCAACTCAAATCGCATCCCTCTCCACTCAAATCACACCCACTCACTCCAAAAAAGGAAAAACATTTGTATTTCACTTTTAGCTTAAATCGTAGCTTTACATCCCAAAGAACTAAAGAGCAATGATTACTTTTTTCCAAATAGAAATGTACTTATTTAAAATTACAGATATCCCTGTGTAACAAGGAATATTACAGTCATATGTAAAATTAAAAAAAATCAATGGGCCTAATTAAATAAAAAAATATACAGTACACCTGTATAACCTTTCAGTTTCCTTTTTAAAACATTTTAGGAACTCCATTATTGAGCATGCAACAGCTGATTTTTAACTGAAAAGTATTGGATGATTGTGCAAGACACAGATGCCTTCAGGGTTGGGCTTAGGCATGCTTCAGGTTTGTGGTGTGAATGTACTGGAGAAAAATTGGAGCGGGACACAGGGCAATACTCCTTCCTTTAAAAAAAAAAACCCACTGCGTTCTTTCCAAAATCCAGCCGCTCACGCTCTGTTCACGTGCCCTGGTGTTGTGCAAAGTACCCATAATATGCTTGACCTTCATTTGCAAAGTTAGTTATTAGCTTTCTAAATCCAAAATACTTGTCTTTTTTGAAGAATAAAGTTGCATGTGTGGTCAGTCCAAATGCTGACCTGTACTTTTGCAGTTGGGTTCAGCCTTTGTCCATCAACTTGACTTTATTAATAATGTGAAAAATACAGTCTGTAAAGTCCAGTTGAACGAACAGATGTATGCGTTTAAAGCTTATTATACAGTGGGTTTTAATATTAATGTACAGGATTTTGAACCCTGGAAAGTTATCAAGGCTGCATCTGCTTGTTGTTTGGTCATTATGATCTCAGTGTAAACAGTGGAAATACAGTGTTCGCTACAGAATAATCCACCAAGAATGTGTTCTTGGATGTATGTGATTGGCCAATGCAGCTTTAACAGGGGGCGTCACATTGCAGCAGTTAAATCAAATCTAACCTTTTGTCCGCATGACACTATCATTTTGGCAGGGCCTCTGCTCCCCCCCCATGCTGCCGTCCCTGCACTTCCCCTATTCAAATAAATGAGAAGGGCTGCATTTTTTTCACACAGTGTAATTTCTGTGTGAATGTGGATTATACAAAATGATTCTATTTGTTGCTATTTCTGTGGCTTGCCCAGTTAAGACATGGAGTAACTATGCCAAAAGAGAATTATGTCATCTAAAACTCTTTCAGTCTGTGCTTTGTTTTTGAACAAGAATGCTTCACTCACTGAGCAAACAAAAGATATCATGGCTATAAAGTGTTGAAACATTATGAAAACAGAAAAGCAAATACTACAACACATGTTATTTCCAGTATATTATGCATGGTAACTGATGACGAGAACATCAAAGAGATCACATGGGAGATGACTAAACAGGTAAAGCAGAAGAAGGAAAAGATCCAGAAGAATTCTTGAATGAGGATAGCAACCAAAGAAAGAACGGCTCTTTCAAAAAGTCACTTTCCCTCTGACATTGCTGCTCCCCCAGTAAAACACTGAGCAACCTTAGGAGTCCATATGAACAAAAACAACACCAGCTCCTTTTCATCTTAAAACTGACTATATTTATTTCATACTGACCGCTCTGCATGCTGAGAGTCAGCATCAGCTTTATTAAGGTCCAACAGTCAGCACAGTAGGACAACACATTACATGTAACTGCCAGCTGGCCTCTGCTGCTCTGTTTGGACATCTCCCACCCCTGCAGTGTAATCTCTACCAGGTGTGGTATGGGGGTAACACGCATGGAGGTGACAAACACAGTGAAAAGAAAGAGTGAGTAGAGAAGGTTGAAACTAGAGTCAGGGAATGGGCAAGTTTTGATAACAATTTGGTTTTAATGAGCTGGCCAACTCCAACTTTCTAGTTTTGGCCTCTGTTCTTTGTTTGACTGAAGCGAGTTCATGAGAGATATCAGTGTATTTACTTACATTTAAATAAGCAGTTTACTGTTACTTTCTACTGTAATTAGCTTGTTACTGGAGTACAGACAGGGAAAGTACCTCTGATGAAACAAAAGATCATTATGTCTGGCAGTCCTGTCTTGAATATAAAACTGTTTAATTCAAACTCCAGCTAAAACAAACTGACTCAAGTAGCATGTGCTGTTAGTCCAAAAGCTTTAACAAAAAATGAAGAAAAACCCACCTTCTTTTAATGCTAATACACTTGAGCTTCATTAGCAGAATTTCTTTCCTTTTTTGGCCCACTTGGAAGTGGAATAAGCTGTAAACACAACATTGATGTATTACTTTATGAAGCTGTTTTGGCTAATGTATTTACAGCTAGACAGCACTCAGAGTGTAAAAGACACGAAACACGAGTGATTACTAAATGCCACAAACAGCTAAATAAATGTCCTGTGCAGACTGAAATACATTGTACTACGGTTCTTCATAGATGCACGGAACTCACACCCTTTGGCTGAATGTTAGTGCACTTGAGTCTGTTTTCCAGTGTGACTCCTGCTACAATTATTAGCTCTACTCTTCTTCACTCCAAGTGCTCAACAGCACAGCTACACACCTTCACCACAAGGGGGCTCACATACAGTCAACAGCCTTTCCAGCACTCGCATAGGTGAAGAATCATTTAAAAATTCTTGGATTTGGATGATAATCCAGATCATCACCAAAATCTAATCTACTGTACCTCTGCCAAAATGTCATCTGATAGCCTGGTCCAGCGGTCCCCAACCTTTTTTGTACCAGGGACCAGTTTCATGCATGAACATTTTTCCGCAGACCGGGTAGAGGCGCGGGGGTTCCAATAACAAAAACCTTTGTCAAGTTCATAGTATGTAATCTGAATGCAACAATTACATTTTGTATTAGGCAATTACAATAATTCTACACTATAATATCAACTCACCATGTTTTGTCTCAATGTGGCATTTTTGAGGGTTTCATGGCTTCATTAGCTTGTCGGTCACCGCAAATTATGCATAGCGGGTGTGGAGCTTGTGTATCACCTGTTGCGATGAACCCGTAACTTAGGTAGGAATTGTGTTTTTTTTTTTTTGTTGTTGTTTTTTTTTAATGCAGCTTTCTTTTTGCTGGCAGTCTGTGACCCTTCTGCTGTCCCATCATTTGCTCATTCCTTCCCGAAAAAGCTGTCCAGTGAATTTTGTTTTTGGCTCATTTTTTTAAAGGGTTAGCTTGTGTCGGGCTAGTTGCCTATGTACGCATTCTGCCAACACTGCCCAATATTAGCATTCACTAGGAGTCTTGTTTCTGTCCACCTGGTGAGTATGAGTCCAATTTAGCTCAGTTTTGGTCTCCACCAACTCCTGAGAAAATGAGGCTCTGCTCCACTTTGTTTAACATCTTGTTACTAATTTTGTCTGTGTGCTCTGATGCTGGAGATGTAGTACCGTAATTTCCGGACTATAAGCCGCTACTTTTTTCACTTCATGTACACACCCTCATCATGGAAAACACACGATGAAATGCATATGATGCAGCTTTCAAATTAAAGGCAATCGATCTGGCTGTCGAAATATCTCATGTTACAACGTGGACACCTGCGGCTATGTACAAACTGTTTTTTCATTTTAAATTTAGTGGGTGCAGCTTATATTCAGGTGCGCTCAATAGTCCAGAAATTACAGTATACCGTGAGTTTATGTGAGCATTTTCATTGAAAGCAGCTGCCTGCTGCTGCTGTGAGCAGTGCTGATGAGAGTAAACAATAAATAAGGTTGCAGGCCATAAAACTCAAACAATAGCTTGAAATAAGCTTGACAGAGCTGAAGGGAACTGTAGCGCTGGGGGAAATTCTCTTTGGCTTCGTCACTTGGAGCAACCCCTTTCACATTACGCTTAAAAACTATACAAATTATTACAGATTATTTTCTAAATAAACACAGTGGTACGTGCAAATTCTACAGCGTTAGTTTTTTTTAAAGTGCATTTAGTGACCTATTTTTTTGGATAGCGTTATACGTATGTATATTGTTGACAATGGTTGATGCAGATCTTTAATAACTTATTAGAATTGTCAATTTTTAATGTTATAATTGATTGTTTTAGCAATACATGTGCAGTACAGTACAGTACAGTATGCAGTCCACTTAGCTGATATCTCTCTACCAGAGGTGGGCTCTTCTGATAATGCTTCAGTAACTGCATCTAATGTTGGAGCATTAGCTGTCTCTGTATTGAAGGGCACATGCATTCAGAGCAGCATTGTCGAGTTGTAATGGTGTAACATTTGTTGCTAGCTGTTTTTGTTCACTGTATTTCTTGTGTACTTCCTGTGTTCATCTCACAGACTGATAAGAAGGATCTCCAAGGCAATGGCTACATCACAGGATTTGAGGTTTTGTTGCAGAAACAGCTGAAGGGGAAACAGATGCAGAAAGAGATGTCTGAATTCATAAGAGAAAGGTATTTTATTTTTTACTCCCCCCAATCCTCAGGTTACCATGAAAACCGTACAGTTGTTTAAAAAAAATTCCTCTTGTTTGTGCTCATTCATGTATATCGCTGTGTTGTACAACACAGGAAAAGCACATCAAAATGATCTGATTTGCGTAAATGGTGTGTGGTAATGAAACTCTTTGTACTTCCTTCTCAGAATAAAGATAGAAGAGGAGTACGCCAAGAATCTCTCCAGGCTCTCTCAGATCCCTCTAGCAGGCCAGGAAGAAGGGTGAGTGACCACCTTCTGTAAAGAATTTTCAGCAGCAAGACACACCTCCTCTCATCATAGAGGAGCCAGTCACACACATGGCTGCAGGGAAGATGTGAATTTTTAAAAAATTTTTAAAAAGTACATGTCAACACTTGAAAAGCAGTCTGCCAGACATTTCATTGTGCAGCTACTTAGGAAATGAGATGGCTGTAAATTGTGTTTTGGGGCTCTTTCCTGCAAGGTATATTTTATTATAGTAATAAAAATGTGATACTTTATTGCACCACAGAGGGCGTATTTCTTTCCAGGGAGGTCAAAGGTCAGGGTCAGTTACAGAAGTACAGCCATGGAGATGGTAGAGATTCAGTGTCAGATGATTGACAGTCTGGGAAAATATATATACTGTAAATGGTTGAAAAGAAACATAGCATGTGAATAATGAGGAGGTGCAAAGTAGTGCACAAACAACTGATTAAATAATTGCAATTGAGGTAATTTATCATTTTTAGTGACAGTTGATATCACTAATATTGCTATCTTTGAGTTTTTGATGGTTGTTTGACAAAAAGCAGAGTATAAAACATTATAGTATATAGTAGACTCAGCTGCAGACAAAGAAAAGGAGGCAGGTAAGAGCAGAACCAAATAAGCCATCTTGGGTAATGTAGTGCTCCTGGGTAGTGTAGTCTACTTAGGTTAAACATAAACAGGAAACCTGATTTAGAGAAGGCTGAGGAGGAAATTAGTCACCACAAGCTACTGGTCATGGCAGACCACATATGACTGTCACAGCAAAACCCCTAAATGTGTTTGAGAAAGGGTATGATTTATTGCGAATGAATTCAACGTTTACAAAAGGAACCATTTTTTTGTCTTTGTGGGGCTTTAAAGCTAAATAAAAGCCAGTTCTGTTGATGTTGAATCAGTAGGCCAATTAGCCAGCCTGGCAGACAGCTCCTCGGTGAGCCATCCAGTCAGCTAGCCAACCTGGCGAGACATCCCGGTGTGAGTCTGACATCAGTGATGTTATGAACCAGTATGGCCTTCCTGTAAATCACTGGATGCTTTGATCTCTGTCCTGCAACATATTTCACCTATTCGGAAAGAGGGGAGGAGGGAGAGAAAGCACTGAGATAAAGGACAATGAGGTTTTAGTTGTGTGTATTCACAGTTAGATGTTTGAGGGGGTTTGCTCCAGTCTGTCAGAGTGGATATGATACTGAGGGCAGCTCTTTGTCTGGTTCACCAAAGGGACACAGGAACATGGAAAATAAGCTAACGGGAACCTGGGAGGGGCTCAACCAACCAAAGACACCAGGGGTGGGACAGGCCTATTGACATAGGGGGGCAAAGCATTGTTTGTGCAAATTTTTTCTTGCCCAGTCTCTGAATAGCTAGAAATAGCCTAATCAATAACACTGTTACTTAACAAAGCATAGAAAATGCCAAAGGTTTGTCTGCTGAATCTTAAAAGTCAGAATCTAGTTTACATTCAACATGTAATTTCTAATATGACAAAAAATCCATATAGTATGTAGTAACTTAACATTTTGCTGTTGCTGTGGCATACCAAATGCTATATTAGTTTTAATTTATAATATGCTCTTTGTAACTATTCAACAATAGGTTAGTGATATGTTTGTCATATGGTATCTGAATCACCTTTTAGAGCCACTTTGTACATCCTGTTCAGAGTCCAGGCACCAGCTAAGGGATTTGTCTGCCAGGTGTTACAGCAGCAACAGGCAGAATATTCATAAAACAGTCACATCGGAGTCACCATATGCAGCCAAGTGTGAAATGCTACAGACGGTCAAGGAGGGCGCACACCACACACCTGTCACTAAACCCGATTTTAACTCCTGTATATCAGCAACACAAAACACCATCCTCACTGTCAGCGGGTTGACTGTAATCAAATGGGCTGTGCTGCCAGCTGACCCTTAAGATTAGCAGAACAGTGGCGCACTCTCAAATCACCACACTAGTTTCTCGTTACTGTCTCTCTCGCAAACACAAAAACAGATTTTTCACTTACCTAGCTCTGTGTTTCTCAAAAATGCCTGGTTCAACTCCAACATATTTTATTGATTTAACTCCAAACAACCGTACCAGCCAATGTCCAGCTGTGATGTCTACCTACCTCCGTTTCATCCTGGCCAACTTGACTGGAAATATTTGACACAAAAACACAAGACAAGACTTGCAAAAACACTTCTCTGCCTTAACACGTCTGTTCACCAGATTTTTTTCTTCTTCCATTTTGCAGTAGTTTAGCTCTTGTAAACTGTGACACAGTGGAACCAGCCATGTGGAAAAACACCAGCTGTGACACAAAGTCGAAATCTACCTCAGATGTGTTCTGCAATTTTTATACAAGAACTATAGTTATGTACTGGATTTATCAAACTCATTATAATTAAATTAGGAATTTTTGAACAATATTTTCACTTGTTTTTTCTAAAATTAATTTCAAATGCTAAATTTGAGGAGTCAGAAAAAGAGCAACATGCTATTATGTCAGGAATGAACTAGTTTCAAACTAGTGATTGCTAAACTATGTTGCAGCTGAATTTTAGGAATGTTGGATATTAAAGGAGTAAAGAGGTTAGTAAATCATTGGCTTAAAACTCCTGTAGGGCTACTGTTACATGTAAATGTGTGACCCATGAGATTCTGTGATGTTGGAGCACACACATATAACACACACACATCAAAATGTCCAACCAAGAAAGTGGGAAAACTCCTCTCTGCAAATAACAGAGCGTGCAGGAAAGGTTTACCTAGGCTTACTGTTTCCGTGGATATCAGATAACCCCTCTTCCTATTAGCATGGTAATAGAGGGCCAGAGTGAGATAGCACTGTCCCATATAGAGACCGGACTATGGCAGCCGGCTCAGCCTGCCCACGCCCAGAGCAGCGCAGCACAATACTTTCATTCTGTTCTCTGTCACACAGGACAATTGCTGTTTTGTTGGTCAGTCCTACGAGCCAACCAGCCGCAGCCCAGAACCAACTGGTCTATTTATTCTTGAGTTTGTGTGGTAGAGCTGTGGGAATGTGACTTTTTACTGCTACCAATCAGTCACTGTATCAGTTCTGTTGAATGACAGAAGATTAATTTTCCCTGAGATACAGCATATTGTTGGTAAGTGATTGTGTGCCACTGGGGACTGTAAGACAAACTAAAAAAAATGGATTAGCACATCCATATATCTCCTCTTTGGCCTTCCTCTTGACCTCTTGCCTGGCAGCTCCATCTCCAACATCCTTCTACCAATATAACCACTATCCCTCCTCTGCACATGTCCAAACCATCTCAATCTGGCCTCTCTGACCTTGTCCCCAAAACAGCCGACCTGAGCTGTCCCTCTGATGTGCTCATTCCTAATCCTGTCCATCCTGGTCCCTCCTAAAGAGAACCTCAACATCCTTATCTCTGCTACCTCCATCTCTGCCTCTTGTCTTTTCCTCCCTGCTACAGTCTCTAACCCATACAGCATAGCTGGTCTCACTACTGCATTCTGATCATCTATTAGACCAAAAAAGATACAACTTGTTTTGGTGAGCAACACTGAATGTAAACACACATTCTGTTTACAAGAGAACATCACAGTATACTTTAAGTTTCTGCAAGTGCTGCTTTCTTCTCTGTTCAGTTACAGCAGCTATTCCAACTCATGTTTACAACTCTCTTAAATCCAAACAAGCCACCATGGCTCCTGCAAAAATTCTAAACCATGTCAGTTCCAGTGCCATCAGCTGTCATGCAAATCTTGCGCCACACTCTTTTTATTATGCTGTGTAAGCAATATATGGAATGACAGCAGTGTCAAAAATGTTTGGAGTTTGTGATATGATTATCTGGCAGTTTGCATTTGTATCACTTTTCTATGAGGTTGGAAAAACCTTTATGTTAAAAAAGGTGCAAATTAAAAATAAAATTAATTTTAACATATGTGAAGATATGAGAATACGAAAAGATTGTCTATATATGACAGCTTTGTGAATATACAAAGTACATTTCTTGGTCTTATACTTGTATAGCGCCTTTCTATACTTTACAGCACACTCAAAGCGCTTTCACATTATTCAGCCATTCACCCATTTGCACCCCCAGACACTCACACATTCACACACCGGTGACATCACCGGGAGCAACTGGGGGCTCAGTGTCTTGCTCAAGGACACCTCGACATGTTGACTGGACAAGCCGGGAATCGAACCACTAATCCTCTGGTTAGGAAATGACCCGCTGAGCCACAGCTGCCCACGAGATCTCAAGCTCTTGGACCCTGTATCATGCCATCTAGTTGCTGGTAAAGGATTGATTTGGAGGGGATTCCATACATGTCTAATATTCAGAGCAACACTTTGAAGTGATCTACTTCCCCATAAAGACTGTCAGTCCTGGATCCAGAGCCTCATGGCTGTGACTGCCTGCTGGATGACTGTTTTCTAGCCCCTCAGCTTGAAGCCATTTTCTGTCTGTCCTGATTATGTATCATTCACTTTCTTTAAATCAAAACAAATGTCTGGCCTATACTTATTATTACATAATGCAAATTTAATAACTTAATTATCTAATGCAAATCCTTGTCATCAAAACAATGTAAGCCTTCTTTGTGTTGTTGCCCTGAGATATCGTGAAAAGCTGAGCTCATAGCAGGCAGAGAGAGCCGAGCTGTCTCTCATGTGCCATACATGCTCCTGAACTGGCTGTGGACCTCAGGCTCAGCTCTCTAGATTTACTGGTTACTTGTCTATCTGTGAACTTTTGCACTGACTCTGCTTCAGAACCACATCTGTGTGTGAATAAGTGTGTATGTATGTGAGATAGGATTCCCCCCTGCCCCCTCTCTAGCTCTAACTTTCCCTGACACTTTCTGCCCTCCCTGCACGTCTTTACATAAAAGAGTGTGTGTGTGTGTGTGTGTGTGTGTGTGTGGTCCTTTCTTGTGGAAGATATTAAACACACACACTCCCCCCTCCTTATCTGTTCCCAGGACTCTGGGGGACGCTTGGGCCCAGCTGAAAAAGAGCCTGGCAGACGAAGCTGAAGTTCACCTAAAGTTCTCCTCAAAAGTAATTCATTACACTTTACTTCATAGGCTATCTACATTAATTAGCTGCTTGATGCCGATACCTAAAGTTACATTCATGTGTGTCTGCATAGAAGTTTCCCTTTGTTTTAGTCACTAGAATTCAAATATTGTGTTGTTTTTGCAGGCCACTTGTAACCATGGTAAACAGCCAGTTGTATTGACAGATCTTGGATGCACCTTTGCTTATCATGCAGGATGTTTTTCTTAACAATTATACAGTGTGCATATAGTATGCATATATGCGGTGTCCTCCACAGCTGTTTCCTTGCTATTTATGGATGCATTCAGCATTTTGAAAACAAACACAAAAGACTAAGATGAAGGCATCTACATTTGAAAGAGAGTGATCATGTTATTTGTAGCTTCTTCTAGAGTGTGTGTATATACACATTTACAGTATATGACTTCAGAAAACATGCTAGCCAAAATCTCTATAAATTTCTTCAGTTCCCTTTCCTCCATCGCTGGTTTTTGAGGGGACTACTCCTCTTAATTTCTAGGTTGTGAAGTGCAAGCATTCAGTGAGTTTGTCTTGAGAGTTAAGAGAGTGAAGACGAAAGACCAGGATTACATCTGGGCTAATGGAGGCAATGGAGTCAGTGATGTTATCCCACAGAGATGTGCAGATGTGCGGCACTGTTTCAGGTTCTTGGAAGAGAAGGAAGATTTCAGTGGAAATGAACTTTGAAAGATGATTTCCAGTGAAGGGAGGACAGAGCTCTAGATCTCATTCATTACTGACAGCTGGGACACATCACCACATTGCTCATTAGGTTCATATAACCAACGACAGGCTTGCTACTCACACAGGTTACTCATCTAAAAATAATATTGCCTTGTCACATTCTTGGAGCAGGAGCTTTTCACACTCTGCATCATTTAACTTTATTTTAAACCCTTTTTTTTACCCTCATAAATTAGGATAACTAAAAAGGAAGCTATGCATTGTTGATATATAGTGTTCTGGTTGTTGTTTGGCTCCATAAAATCAAACCATTTCTCATCTAAACTAGCACAGTGTGGGAGGATGATGACATAATGTAGAAAGCGACTAGCGGGAATAAAACTAATTATGGTTTTTGCATAATTAAATCAGATATATAGAGGTTGGTTAAAGTGGTTTCCCCTTTTGATTCATGACTATTATTATTACAGGAATTCAGTGTATAATCCTTTATGTGACTTGCTGCTGGGTAAAGAGGTAATTTTAGATCAGCATCACTTTATATGCATGAGGAGTTAGTGTATCTGTGCTCCAATTTATATTGTCAACACTTAAAGATGGCTGATAGATTTATTCTTGTCAGTTATCAGAAATCTGAAAGTAATCAAAAGTTGTGCATGCTTTTGGGCAGTCAACACAATAAGGATCACAGAGTAACACCAAATTGAAATTCAGCTTCACACTTCAGTGAATCATTAATTTGTTTCTCGGCCCCACCACACCCTGATGCTGGGGAAATATGACAGAACTGAGTGAAAATAACTTTTCTAAGGCATCCTTTTCTATGGTGCAAACTTTCTGTCCTCACATGACTTTGTTCAACTGAATGCGATAGGCTGAGGAGCAAAATACTTCTCTGGCCTACTTTGTTTCAGCAGCAGCATGAGTGTTTCAGGTGAGCAGTCTCCTGCTGACAGTGTTTTTGCCTCAGAATGCAAACCTTTGGTCTCCATTTACCAACAGGGTCAGGCTTGAGTATGAGAACACAATGCCTGTGAGCCAATAAGAAGAGTGCAGGGCCTCCAGGTGTGAGGCATGGATGTAGCCTATTATAAGAACTGGATACTCTGTTCCAAAACAGGGGCCCGTTTCTTCCAGTGAATGTGGTGCAGTGGGGGCAAAGGGAAGAAAGCTTTTTCAGGATTTCACTTTTTTTTTTTATCCCATGGAGCATGAACCTCAGAGTCCTCATTTCTTTCATTTTTATTGGACCTATGGCTCAAGCTGTGATCATACAAAGAGCCATTTTGCAGTGTTTGTGATCCTAAAAATATATCCACAGCCTTTTCTTTTGTAAGGACAGCAGAATAAAGTCTTGTTGGACCAATGTGTGTCACATGGTATGCAATTCTGACTGTTCACCACATAAAAATAATATCCATGGGACCACTAAAATATAGAAGATGACAGAGGAATTTTTCTGTGTTTTTAACTCAGTTTTGAGAAAAAAAATCCTATGCTGAGTTAAAGTCTCTAATAAAGCCTCAGAAAGTGGAATGTTCAAGTAAAAATGGAGTAATGTTCAACTTAAGGCTAAAGTTCACAAAGTTTGCAACATGCCTTTTAAAATTACAATTTTGAATTTGTCACTCAACTTGTGTTGTGAACTTAACAGGTATGAAAAGGGTAGTACTGGAGAACCGCACACTAAACCTGTCATCGCTACCATAACTGGCTGTGTGCCTTAAAGATTAGCTTGTTATAATCGCTTAACAATACCACAGAAGTGAATCATTTTTATGTTTCAATATGTGACAAAAACTGATCAAAAGCACTGACTTCAGCAATTTAGTGTCTTATGATTCTGTCACACCTAGCTAACTTGTTAATGACAAGAAGCTACTGGAGCTGTTAGGGCTGGCTCTCAAGATCTGGCTGACAAACAAATGTTAATAGTAACATAAATGATAAACCTTTAGTTTTTGTGAGGAAATTGGCCCCTAAAGCAATTAACGCATCTGCCTCTTGGTGACCCTGTGGTTTTTACAGTAGCTTATAGATCTCAGGTTTGCAAAGAGGAGGTCTCTGCATATGACACTTAAGAAAACTAACATTTCATTACAGCAACTGTTTGCTGTTATTATTTTGAGCAGCTCCATAGTGAAGTGGAAAAGCCTTTGCTGGCCTTCAGGGAGAACTTTAAGAAGGACATGAAGAGGTTTGACCATCACATCGCAGACCTACGGAAGCAGCTGGTTGGGCGCTACGCAGCAGTGGAGAAGGTACACACACAAAAACACAGACATAAGACCAAGCATTGCAACTATAATGCAACACAGTTCTTTGCTTGCATTTGGCTGCAGCAGATTTTTAGGAATCATCTCACTGGTGATTAAAATTCCATGTTTCTTCCATAAAGCTGACGGCTGTTTCCTGTCCTTGGAATGTTTCTTGCTTTTTGTATATGTACAGTGAAAAGTAATTGGCTGAAGCCTGAAGGCAACTGCAAATCTGCCTCACATCATGTGTCATCTGAGCAGCATTCACTCTGAGAAGGGACTAAACATTTTCTCTCTGATAAACCCATCTGTTATACGACTGAGCTTTTAAAGTGGGACAAACTATGATGCTGGCCATGTTAGCTGTCATAAGGCAGCTTTAACTCAGGATGATGGATGAATATTGAGAAAGTATGTAGCAAAATGTATTATCACTGTGATAAATGGATGCAGATTAACATTATAGGAGCTGAACACTTATTTATTGTTTTATTGAAAGTGTTTGTTTCCAGAACACTGCAAATGTCTGTAAGATAAAGGTTTGCTACCATTTTTGGAAATGCAAAAACTGTACAGTAAGATTAGATTGTTTAGTAAAATTAAGCCTGTGTTTTGTTTTGTTTTTAGTTTTCTATATGTGACTTCAGTCCCTTATCTCCATCAGGCCCGTAAAGCTCTGGCCGACAGACAAAAAGAACTGGAGTTGAAGACTCAGCAGTTGGAGATCAAACTCAGCAACAAGATTGAAGAAGACATCAAGAAGGCCCGTAGGAAATCCACACAAGCAGGTCAGAGCAGATGTCAAAGTTCAAACCACAGGTCACAGTCTCACTCAGGTGTTTGTTATTTTAAATGGGAGGGAGTACTGGTCAGCGTATTTATGTTGCAAATTCTCACATGCATGTGGTTGTGAAAAGTAGTGTGTGTCCATTAAGCTGTTTTAATTTTAGCTGACTGCTGCTTTTGCATTGGTCATAAATGTTTTAGTTCTTTTATTTTTTATGGAACTTTTTTCTAAGATTTTTGTTGTACAAATATGCTCTGTAACTTGTCTTAATGTGGAGAGGTGCTATCTCCTGTGACCCAGACATCATTGAGCAGCACTGGCAGCAGGGCAGAGATGTTGGCTTCTAAAGATTTTGTGTGGGATTAACCTCTCAGGCCAATCAGAGATTTATAGTTATTTCTGCTTGATCAGTAAGTTTTGTTGCAATTTCTTTTCTTGTAGTTTCATAATGACAAATGCCTGTTAAAGCTGGGCAGAGCGTGGCAGAGCAGAGCAGATCGTAGTGGAGCGGGGTGAGGGAGTACTGGGTGGAGCAGAGTGGATTGGTTCGTGCTGGTGCTACCTTAAGTTACATACTGTAGCTGTGAAAAAGAAGGATAGCCTTTGCTATGATATCTAATGTATTATTATTATAAAATGTTATGTCTATATAGGTTCATTAAAATCAAAAGGGTTCATCCTTCGGGACCATGAATGTTTATGTAATGGCATTCTGTTTAGGTTCTCTTGTGTACAGAGTTTGCACTTTGGTCTGAGGGTAGAGCAGTGGTTGCAAAACGTTCGAGTTTATGGCTAGAGGTTTTCACCGGTGCACATGGTTCTGATGACCCAAGGAGCAACCAGAGTTGGACCAGTTTCAAATTCGGCTCAGTCTAATCAGGTCAACTGCTGCGGGTCTCAGGTCTTTGTGTCAGTATGTCCAAAACTGAAATGGATCCTAATGGACCCGAGTGTGCATGGTATTGGCTCTGATTGTGTTTGTCTCAGTCACTGCGGGAATGAAAACTGTGAACTAATGGTTCATTTGTTAGTTGTCATTACTGAACTGTTCGGCTTTATACATGAATATGGGGTAATTTTTTATTTTTTTATTTTTATTTACTGGAAGCAAACATGTTTGGATTTGATCAGAGGCTATTGAAGTGTCAGACAAAGACCTATAAAAATCCCACTGGGATTCTCACTTGCCATAGCTCATCTGAGCAGTGCCACAATTAGTTTAGCGACAAATCAGCATGACCCATACAGTTTAGCAAGGAGTGGATATTACTGGATATTATTCCCTATCCCTATCTTTAGCCTTTTGTTGTAGCGGTCACTTGAGATTGGCTGTGACCTGAGATGCTGTGTTTGTCTTTTTACATGAGTACTTTATCAGCACTTTGAGCCAGACGGGGATGTGGTGGCGGTGTTTTTTTTTTTCTTTTAATGTAGGGATGGGAGAAGTGGAAAGAAGGAGGGTCAGAAACATTCTTTGCCCAACCTGTGTGTGTTCACACCAGACTGATAGAAAGGTGTGGGTGTGGACTAGCGCCATAGCCCCTGGTGGAGATACATGCATGAGCATTAATGATGTGGCTGCAAAAATGCCCATCTCACAAAGTTGTTTCCTGTGTTAGAGATTATAGTGGGTGAAAATGTTATTGTTCTTAGAACTAGTGGGAGGAAACATCTGGTGGCATAAGATAATTGGACTAATAATGTTAGGCAGCATGTTTTAAGATTTTGTCATCAGACTGCTCTGTTTAAATACTAGTAAACTTCTACTGGAAACAAAAGGGAGTGTTTTACTGTGTGAATATGGGTTTTCCTCCTATAAATATAAAGTGAAATTCATAAGCAAGAGTAACATCTTCTTTGACTATTTTTATGGAGGATGTTCATCTTTGATTTCTAACTTCACTTCCCATAATGCTTTGGGTAATAAACAGGAAGTGTTTGTGTTCATGGATTCAGTGAGCTGCGCTGTGACATACAGCTTGAGCCCTGTTTTTGACCCTATATTTGTCTATGTTTTGGCAAACTGGCACTATTAAATGTTTGGCAAATTGGCTATTAGTGATTTCTGTTTGCAGTGTACCCCTGTGTGTACAGTCAGCTTTCACAGGATTACTCTGATACAGAAGAACACGAAGAAATGTGAATGTTCCAGTACAAATCAATCACAGAACAACAGTAGTGAGGACCAAGATCTGACTTTTTGGAGAAATGTCCTCTGGTCTGATGAAACAAAAATGGACCTGTTTAGCCACAGGGGGAGGCTTGTAAGCTGAAGAACACCATCCCAACCATGAAGCATGGCAGCATCATGTTGTGGGGGTGCTTTGCTGCAGGAGGGACTAGGGCACTTCAACAAAATAGATGGCATCATGAGGAAGGAAGATGATGTGGATATATTGAAGCAACATCTCAAGACATCAGCCAGGAAGTTAAAGCTTGGTCACAGTGGGTCTTTCAATGGACAATGAGCCCAAGCAGACTTCCAAGGTTGTGGCAAAATGGCTTAAGGACAACAAAGTCAAGGTATTGGAGTGGCCACCACAAAGCCCTGACCTCAGTCCAATAGAAAATATGTGGGAAGAACTGAAGAAATATGTGTGTGTGTGAGCAAGGAGGCCTATAAACCTGACTGAGTTCCACCAGTTCAGGAGGAATGGGTGAAAATTCCAGCAGCTTATTGTAAGAAGCTTGTAGAAGGCGTCCTGAAACGTTTGACCTAAGTTCAACAATTTAAAGGCAAAGCTACCAAATACTAACCGAGTGTATGTAAACTTCTGAAACACTGGGAATGTGATGGAAGAAATAAAAGCTGAAATCAAACTTTTTTCCTGCTGTTGACATTTCACATTCTTAAAATAATAGGTAGTGACACTAACTGACCTAAGACCGAGAATGTTTATAGGATTAAATGTCTGGAGTGGTGAAAAACGTAGTTTAAATGTATTTGGCTGAGGTGTATAACTTCTGACTTCAGCTGTAATGTCAGTGACTCTGAGTTAGCCTTTTTGTCTGTGCCATAGTGTTTTCAGAAAACTATTAAAGTCACACCCACGAGCCACAGCTTTGCACTGAGTGACGTGTATCTTTCTCACAAAAAATGAGAGGCCTGTCTTTTATGAAAAAAATAGTTTTATACTAAGAAAAGCCATCACATATTTACAGTCAGAAGTAAGAGAGAGTCAACGGGGTGAGTTACACTACTCTGCTAGCTTCTCACAGTGCACACAACATTGCCAGAGAGAGAGAGAGCCCAGCTGACTAAATCATCATTTCATGGTCACAGTGTCATCTGATAGCATCAGCGTACATAGAGGTTAATGCCAACAGCTGGGATGCATCATTGGCTATATTGATGTTGAAAATATATGAAACAGAGACGATGGGCACATGTTGCCTTTGCTGCCTGTGACCACTCACAGCTGGTTATTGTGCTGAGCACCAGCCTGTTGCACCTCCTACTCTCTGCAGGCCCCGGTACAGTGTTGTAATGCTCCCTAATTTATGATAGTCATATTTATGTTCTTATTTATCTAGCATATTCTGATTTATCTCTTATTTACAAATTCATTTCTGTCAGACAACTGAACCAGTATGAAATAACAGTATTTATTTGTGACCCATGAGCACCACACATTAACCATCATATCACTCTGAAGCTGCTGCTATGTGATGATAAAATTATTCATTTGTAATTGCAACGCTGTCTGATACACTCAATATAAATTGGCATTAAGAGCAAAATACCGCTCCCCACGAACACAAGAGGAGCGCAGTTTCTGATTAAATGGATGATAAATAATGAAGTGTTAATTCATTCTAATTATCAGACTCCATTTGAACTCTAAAAACAGTGGAAACACATGTATGACCGGAGGAAAATGACAAAATGACAGGCTCAGAATAAACAGATGTAGACTCTCTGCCAGAGTGATGTCATGACACAACCAGGCATGACCACATGCTGTTGCACATGAGTCCTCGATCCAAACTGGCTTTCTGAGTGCACACACGGTCATCCCTCCTCCATGCAGCTTACGCAACCCGGGAGAAAAACAGCAGCAGTTGTTGACGGTGCTCGTGGCGTCTGGCTGCCAGTGAGGACGGCTATGGTGTAAGGGAAGCAGAGAGCAGGTTGATGCCAAAACAACTAAAGCACAGCATCTGTCTGCTCATAACAAAGACTCATTAGTGCTTCATCCTCTCACTGCAGTGGATTACACACAGCAGTTGCTCATTTATCTCCTTCTATTCTGGGGATTTTCTAAAGTTTTTATATCAAAGACAACTGTCATCTTTTTATGGAGCTCATTAGTTCTGCTTTTTATATACAAGAAAGAAATGTATTGGTATTCATTTTAGCTTTTTTAAGAGTTGGTAGCTGATGTAAGGGCTCATCTGCAGCATAATAAGCAGCAATTTGGATTATATTCCAGTTTTTTTCTTCCCTTTTCTGTTAATAGATGCAGATTCTGAGCTGATCTGAACAAAAGTGTTTACTGTGAATTGTGCCGTTTGATGTGCCAGAACATCAAATCCACACAAACCAATTTCAATAGATCTGTTCATTTTAACATCTTCGATCCAACAGACCTGCCAGTAGCATAGTTGTTGTAAGTGCATGCTATACACCCAAACATTGTTCACAGCCACAGAACTTGTTCAGATTCTTGTTTTAGCTCTAGAATATTTCCTTTTGATGGAAAAACGCACAGGGTTTCATCTCAGTATACAGTCATGGCCAAAAATGCTGGCACCCCTGCATTTCTGTCAGATAGCACACCGCTTCCCCCAGAAAATTGGTGCAATCACAAATTCTTTTCGTATTCTCATGTTTATTTCTTTTGTTTTCCATTGGAACAACACAAAAAAGCAGAGAAAAAACCCCAAATCTGATCCATTCCACACAGAACTCCCAAAATGAACTGGACAGAATTATTGCCACCCTCAACTTAACTTAATATTTGGTAGCACACCCTTTGGAAAATGTAAGTCAGTCACTTCCTGTAACCATCAGTGAGTTTATTTATTTTTTTAAACAGCTGTTCAAAGTGAAAATTTTGAAAATCCACCTGCTCAGCATCAAACAGCAGAGTAACAAAGTTGGCAGCGTTTGTTGAATATATTATGTACCAGATATATTTCTTGGGTGTTGATGGAGACCAAAACAGAGCAAATAAAAAGGTGCCTATTGGAATGGCATGTGTCAGGTAGCCAAAAACACAACTCCAAATGAATGCTAATACTGCATGGTGTCTGCTATATGTGTAAATATGCAACTGTTAGCCATAAAACACAACTCCAAATGAATGCTAATATTGCATGGTGTCTGCTACTGTATATGTGTAAATATGCAACTGGTAGCCATTTGTTAATCCTACGTTTACAGGTTGGTACTGCTGCCCCATACCTACCGAAAATCAGTTATTGTGCATTTAAGACAAAATATATTTCACTCAGTGTTATAAGGTCAGTATATTATGGGTGTGTAGCTGTGTAATCATTTAGACTGGTGTTTTGTTCATGCTAGCTGTTTTGCTTGGGAGGGTGTATTAGTGGGTTAGGAGGCCTAACCGCAGTTGTTGGGTTGTTATCTTAAAGAAGTATGCAGATTTAAGAGGTGTACTTGTGTAACCTGACTTACAACAACCCGTACAGCTGCATCACCATTTTTGTTGCTATTTTTCTGTCACTCTTTTTCATGGCTCCCCGTAGTTACATAGTTAGCTGTGTAGTCCACATACATAATCCCTGTGTTTAAATCACTAATAAATCCAGAAAACTATTAGCTTTTCCTATTTAACTAAATTCAGCTAAATACAGCCTGTCACAGAATTAAATATCGGTTTTTGCTGTAGGTAACTGAACAGAGAATAGTGCAGTGAAATACCACATTTTCTACTGTACAGTCTGCCATTCCATTGCAGACCTGTTTAAACTGCCACTAGGAGCTCTTGTGGTCCCCAGACTCCACTTTGAGAAACACTGGTATGCAGCTTTGAGCTAAAGAAGAATACAGTTTTAATGTGAATATAAAAATAGTGAGCAGACACCGACTGCAGGAGAAAAGGATGATTAGCATCATTTCCTCTCTGATCTAATCTCCTAGATGATTAGCACTTGTTTGTGTTGTCAGCAGGATGCAGGCAGTAACATTAATGAAAGGACAGATCAGAGTTCCCCTTTTTATCATTGCTTAACATATAATGAAATCTGTTATCAGTCCAGATAATCCTGTCAGCTGAGTGAGGTGGAACAAATGCAGTACATGTGTTGCAATAAGATCAGCTGGGAGGGGACTAGTTGGGCAGTACCACCGTCTAGTGGACGCACTGTGTACTACAGGTTTGCTACGCAGTATTCCCACAGAGCCCAAGTGAACGAGACAGTAGGCAGGTCTCATTGTTGTTCTAGTGCAAATATTTCCAGAGTAAAAGTCCCCTGATCACATTCTGTGTATTATTTGTAACAGGAGATGATCTGATGCGCTGTGTCGACCTTTATAACCAGTCCCAGTCCAAATGGTTTGAGGAGATAGTCACCACAAGTCTGGTAAGAAACCATGTGTTCAGTGATTGTCTGTCTGTTATTTTAAGTGCGAGAAGAAGCTTTGCTGTTTGTTTTAATGTTCATCGGGTTTATAACAATACATTACAGCTATTTTACAATAGAGTCTCATTTAAAAAAACAGATACTGTTCCATTTTTATGGCAGGCACATGTATAAAAGAAACTGTAGGTGCCAAATTAAACAAAAAAGAGTTATACAAGTGAGAAAAATGAAATGCAAATATAGTCCTTCCTGTCAAGTAACTTTAACAAAGGGATCCCTATCTTTGGAAAAAAGAAATCACTTAGACACTACCAATATTTGCAGGTGCTAAAGAAACAAGACTCCTCTCTAATACGAACAGTTTTTAAACAGGAATTATAAATGATCTTTGCAGATCTATGTTTTGTCAGTGGAGATTCTTGTATCTGCTCAGTGTAGACAGGTGTAGAGATTCCTCTGACTCATTACAACCTGCTCTTCTGCTCAGGAGCTGGAGCGGTTGGAGGTGGAGCGGGTGGAGATGATCAGACAGCATCTTTGCCAGTACACCACCCTTCGGCATGAGACAGACATGTTCAATCAAAGTGTGAGTACAACTTTAGCTTCAGCTGCTTCACAGTAACTCTATGGATAGAGTGTGTCGAGTGCCTCAAGGGAGGCCTGTTACTTTTTCATAAATCTACTGGGGATCAACAAGAACTAGAATTGTTAGAACTCATTTGAATGAAATGCATATCACCTAATTTTTATATCAAACACCCATTAACATATTGCATCAACATGATCCGCCCTTCCTTTAAGCATGTAGGGTTTTTTCCCCATTCTACACCCACAGGTCTTTATATTTATATCTCTGTGTTTTCATGAACAAGTCTGAATGCAGCTTGTTCATAACTAAATGAAGATGGTGTAGTTGGCTTCCATTGTCTCATTAGATTTGTGCATCCTGTTAACATGGTTTGTTGCACCTACATGTCTGTAGGTCCTAGTAGGATCTGTTGAGGGCTGATAGATAATTATGTTGTTTGTCTTTCTTGAGTCAACGTGTGCCAACCAGATACTGCATCACTCCATTGTTGTTCCTCAGTCTGTTCCCCGGTGTCTTTTTTTTTACCAAGCAAGCTGAACTCCATGAACTCATTTGCGGTGTCTCTGTCTAAGTGGCATGCCAAGCTATCAGGACATCACATTTGTTCTAATGATTTTTTATTTTTTTCTGTTTTATTGTACTAAATGGTGCTAAGCTCTGACAGGGTTCTCTAGAAGATGGCAAATAATGCTGTGACCTAGCAGGTTTACTTTGTTGCTGTCTGGTAGTGATGGCCTATAAATACTAAGCTTAATATAGACAGTCCATTAAAACCAACTAAACTTTCCCCAAGGGAGAATGAAATTTGAGTTGAATTGATCATACATGACTTTGGTTCCCTCTGCTGGTGGAACCTAAGAGCCAAGGCACAGCCCTGATTCCAGGCAAGCAAAAGGCATTTTGTTTCTGTTTTGAGGCTTAAACCTACTGCTGTTCTTACTGGTTCCAGACAATGGAGCCAGTGGACCAGCTGCTGCAGTGTGTGGACCCAGCCAAAGACAGAGAGCTGTGGGTGCAAGAGAACAAGACTGGAGACATCAGGCCGGTGGACATAGAGATCTGACCTCAGCATTGTGTGACAGCTCAACACACACACACACATACACACACTGACCCAGAGGTAACATGCCTGAGGACTGACAGGGAGATGTACCCCACCCCACCCACACATGCCGATCCATGTCTGAATCCTAACAGACTGAGTGAGAAGCAGTCACTGGCTCTTCACCTGCTGAGGATGAGGTTGGTATTTGGGAATTTAGTAAGAACCCTAAGGGATGAATAAAGATGTCAGATAGTGAAGCATCATAATTTTCTTTTATGCAAATTGATAGCCAACTAAAAGAGCACAGGAAAATGGGAACCAAGTGTGAATTATTTACTAAAGGACACTCAGGTGGGATGAATGAAGATGCACCAACAATGAACATTTAACATGTATAAATGTTGAATAGCTTTATGTCATGCAGCAGTGTAAAGCTGCGCTCTCTGTGCTTTTGCTGTGAGGCATTTTTCTGATTCACTTGTGTTTTAATACGTGACTTCAGAACTACAAGTTGTTGGCAGAAATGATTTAACAGATGCTGCTAAGCTCAGTGCATTCAGACCTATATTTACTGTGTACCACAATAAGGCTCATGTATTTCTATACTAACATCTACCATGTGCATGTGTTGACTGTTCGCTAAGCCCCATCTTTACTTAGGCTATATGAAAGTAAAGAAACAGCAGTGTTTGTGTATTGTAGGACAGTTAGCTGTAGTCCTGAACCTGCAGGCCCGCACAACGTTGACATCCAAATAGCCTGTTGCCCTATATACACTGTTTAAACACGTTGAGTAATTCAGAGACTGAAGGCCTGCTGTGCTGGGGTTTACCGAATAGTCAATTTCTGATTAACGTCACAAATCTGGCCACATTTCTCAGCATCTCTTTAAAAAAATCCAATTTATAGCTTGAGGAGTTTAATCTCCACCTGTGTTTAACTTCATTCTAATGAGTTAAAAATCGGCCAAATGCACTTTATACCTGGGTGATTTTTAATAAATATACTGCAAGTTGCTGTTCATTTAAAAAACAAAATTTTATTACAAATAGAAGTCAATGTTTTTGGTTAAGTTCTGGGGGAACCTGGTGTAAATATATGAGATGTGATTTGCTATGAAAGAAGGCAGTAGATTGAAGGATGTAAATACACAGACATGATACACAGGCATTTGGTACTGATAATGTATGAAAGCTACAAAGTGTTTTAGAAATGACAGCGCTCCTGTGATATTCTGTAGTTTTGGAAATACAAGTCAGTTGCCTCAGATTCGGTGCTTTTGCCTGCAGAAGCTAAATGTTGTACAAAATGATTTGTCCAGTATTACTGCTTAGTATTACTTGACCACAGAGAAGGTGATGGAGATGGTTTTTGTACTTTAACAGCTAAAAGTTGGCATTTTTCATTAATAAAATGAAAAGATGTATCATATGTCAGAACATCTCCTATAAGGTTGTTTTTGCTTTTTGTGTAATGTTTCACAAAGTGAAAAAAATCAGAGGAGAGCATAATAATGGATAAAAAGTATTTCCTAAAATCACTTTCACATTCATCAGTAAAATGGTTTGGTCAAGCCTTGATACAGCTGTTAGCAGTAAAGATGTAATTCAAGGTTCAGACAGATATCCTTAGACTTCAAATAGTTTTGGTGAAATACATCAACAGCTTTTTTTTGTAACTTTTATACTTTTTAAAAACAGCTGAATAATCTTTTTAAGATGACAGTGTCCTTGTTAAGTAGTGTTGGGGCAGTGCTTCAGTTTACAGAAGTGGTTTAACCTTTAACATTGTTAGCGTGTACTTTACAGATTAACAATGTCACATTTTTTTGTATTAATGATGCACAATGTGCAAACAACACTGCCTATTTGACTTTACATACTTCATGTGCCTCATTCTTGTCTTGTGGTTTTTCCACATTCAATCTGTCAAGGACAAAAAGCACAATACAGGGAATCAGCATTCATAAATGAAAACTAAAATTTATTATTCCTGAACCACAAAATAGATTTCTTTGGTTGTACAAATTCACTAGTTAGTCTTGTATGAGCTCTAACCTTTGAACCTAGGATCTCTGACCCCTTCCTGCCAACCTGTCTGTTTAAAAGCCCCCAAAGCACTTCCCGCTGACCTGTTTACAAGTAAAAGCCCCCAAAGTGAACTGAAAGATAAAAGAATAAACAAACTTAAAACACTGCATTAATAATGTAGTGAATATCAGCCATTGCAAATGTTATCAAACTAAATTCCAGTCAGAGAGAGAGAGAAACATGGAAAACTATCAGAAGACCCTACGTTAAATGAACACAGATTACTACTATGCTGTGAGTCTGCAAAAATATCAGTCAGATACATAAATGGACAGTCTGTCAAGCAATGAGCTGAATGTCTGAATGAGGTCAACATCGTGAGAGGGATTTCTAATTATTACTGCCTCTGGTGGCTCTCCCATTAACAAACCAGTATACATGCAGACAGCACTCTGATACCAAGCCTGTGTAGACCCAGATGTGTCAGCAGTCCAGACACTGACTCGGTCTAGGTCAAGACTGGCTTGGTTTCACACACACAGTTGGCGTTGCTTTTACTATTTGTACATTATTCACACAATAATGAGTGATTTCCAGTG